CGATGCAGATTTAAGGCGCCTTTCCATTGGGCTGCGTTGCATATGCATACACGATGCGTTCACACGTTTCATTTTCATGGACAAAAAAAAATCAACTCAGATAACACACGTGTGCGTTGCGTTCGGCCACGTGTAGGAGAAAACGTGGGCGTGAGCGTCTTGCGTAATTCAAAGTCGGATTACATATCTCTGGTATAAGCAAACATTTACACGACCGGATGCGGAAGATCTTCTCAGGTGGATTTCGTAAAAGCCGTTTGCCGGCTGGCGTCGCCATTTTATTAAGCAACAGAAAATAACCACGACTTTGCAAAAAGGAAGGGGCGAACGTACGTATGAAGAAGGCTAATATTTTCTTTACATGGGGGGCCGGGGGGGACGGAAGAGTTTGAGTATGTGTAAGGGGCACACCTTCAGATTGTTGTCATTTTAAGGGAAATCCTCCCCTTCACGACTTGCTCTCTGATCGCGAATATTGTCGTCAATATTCATGATCAAAACTCACGACTCGCTCTCCGGTCGGCATTACTCATTAAACATTACTCTGGAGACTATAGGTACTTGTATGGCGTTGGCAGTGGCGTAGCTAAGATTTTGGGGGGAACAAGGTGGCACCAGCATCTTATGCCCCAAGCCCCCCCCCTCCGGTTACGCCATTGATAGTGGAGCGTGGGTGCTAGAGCTTGAAGTGATTTCACTATCACAGTGAATGGTTTATTTGCGTTTAGTGAAATGCCTGTGGTATGGGAAAGAATACTGGGCACCCTCTTACGCAATACCACAGTCGTCGGTGTTTTGACGAAGCGACAAAAACCAGGAAAATCGGACATTTTTCGATCTGGAGTTTTCTAACCATTTTACTTCTATTGATCCAAAGAACAAATTAGCAGAGTTTCAAAGCAAAATTTTGTTTACTTTCCTAGTAACTGTAAACAAACAACTAACAAAAAGCTTAGCCTCCGTGTTTCCTTGCTTTTCACGAAGTGACAAAAAGTCAACATCGTTTGCGGGGTAAAAGTGGAAAGAGTAAACACAATCACTGCACGAGTCTGTGTGTGTACACATGCGTGCGAACGAAATGTAACAATTTTCTTCAAGTGCGTAGTTTTTTTTCACAAAGTGACAAAATTTAAAATGTGTATGGCGAAATAGGAAAAAAATAAACACCTCTGGGCTGTTTTAACAAAGTAAAAAACATTTGTTATTGATGAATTATTCTTTAATTAAGACAATTTATTTAAAAAATAAGTATGGATTAGCATTTTCCAAGTCTTACATTTCATGACTTTGTAGAAAGTTCCTCAATCCGTAACATAAAAGTGATCGAAAATGTGTATTGAAAAGGCTGGTACTTTTAAACGCGTTTCTCTCGGATTGTCCGTTGGCAAGATTTTGAGGTTTTTGTACACTTCTTGGAAACACTGACGCACTGTGCCTAACTGCCAAACAAAGCAATATACACATTCCCGTTGGACTTAGCCAGAGGCCGGCTAGAGTGTTTTTACTGGCTAGGCCTAAGAGGAATCCCAGATGTTGATTAAAGGTGACCGTAAACTAGGCTGTTCAGCATAAACAGATCTAGAGGTAGGCGTAAACGGGATTTGGAAGTTGATTGCATTTAGCCTTAATTTTTTTTTTTAGTTAAGATATTAGCAAAAACCGACCCGGGCTCAGGGGCCATTCGCTCGACCCAAGAGTTTCAACTGTTCCCATTCAACTTTCCATTGCACTTCAAAAATTGCAAAAAAAATATGAAGGTTATTCTAATTAATGTCCCTGGTGTGAGTTGCTATACTCAACAAGAAAAAGAAATCTTCCAGGGTTTGAACTGTTTCAATTCAGGACAACATCCAGAGGGCGCAATAACCAGTCAAAAATTTTAAAGACTGGTACCCGACCGGGCATTAGTCTCTGGAATTGCCAGTGCACGCGCACAATATCTAGGCACATGTCGAGTCACGCTGACGCCAAACTCATGTACGATCCTGATCCTATTTGAATGAACCACACGTGACCGTATTTTAGCCAGCCAGGATAAAGAACGATGACGAAGTGTGTTTAGTCATATATACAACACCTGCATAAATCCCTGTCGACTGATTGGTTGATCGTTGATCACATTATGGCACTGAATTATTTGTACCAACCATTTTATAAGGACTAGATAGGACATGGCTCCCTCCCATCTCGTGCACGCACGCGTCTCATTGGTGAGGGTTTGAAAGTTTGAAATGTATATAGTCGTCACAGCAGACTGGCGCGCGCATGTCACATGTGCTACGCACCGGGGAATTTAGTCTTGCGGAAGAATTTGTTGGTCCGATTTCTCTCTCTTTTTTATGAGAAAATTGTTGAAAAATTGTTCGGACTTGCGTAGCCGTTGGATGTCCTCGGTCAGGACTGTCGATAACCACGCAGCTTGACTTGCCTTTCAGTCGTTTAAGGTTTTGTTGTTGTTGTTGTTGTTGTTTTTATCGCAATATACCGAACCAATGTGAAGGTGATTTTGAATACATGTACTACTATACCTGATATGGTTTTGACAATACAACTGGTTGTCCAACAAACTGTAGGCCTATAAGCAAATTTTCAATGATCGGTTTCCAGTAAAATCTCAAAAAGTATAAACGTCGTCACGTTTAGTAGGATGTTTCAGTTGAAAACTACATAGTGTATATGTTCTGTTTCTGTCGTTTACGCCCACTGCTGGACGTACGTGTCTGACATCGCGCGCATGACGTCACGCACATTACGCTCGACGCAAGCGAGGCGTGACCCTGTTATAATTCTCTTTAGAACAAAATTTCTGAACTTAATTTAGTTGTTTTTCTAACAGGCTAAACGTTAGCCAATTACTGTTTTTCCCGAATAATTTAAAGTCTTTAAGCTAAGCACTGTAAAATCTGTGGCTGAGTGTTTTCCAATACTCAAGTACTCAACTTCGCCTCCGTCTCAGGCTTCGTCTACGAAGCCAATCCCCTATTATGGGCCTGAAAAGCGTCTAAATTAAATTGAAGTACTGTAATGTTTGGCTCTTTTGCATCTTATTTGATACTCTATGGCACTATCAGACTTGCTATTACGCTTACAACTTCAGAGTTTGTCAAGTCTTATAAAAACAGTTGAAGCCTGAGATGCAGCTGAAGTCGAGTATTGGAAAAACGGCCAAAGATTGCCGATTTTTTATAGAGCCTGAAAGTTGACCCCTTACGGCGCGCTTCCGCAACCCTCGGATAGTATCAGCATGTTACAATAGCATCTTACTACTTAAGTTGCATGGATTGACCTTCAAGAGTAGAACCGCTTTCCAAGTAATGAGACTCACTTAAGAAATGACTAGTTGAACCGCAAGGCCCTTGGGGAGGAAAGCAGGGCTGGACCGGATGGGTCATGAGGCAGCCCACTGGCCTTATAAGGAAAATTCAGTGTTCATTAATTTTATTAAATTCATTAATCAAATCTAAAATACATGAAGAACAGTGCAATGAAGCAGTCTCAGATCTCGTACGCAGATGAACATTTACGGTTTGAAATATTTATGGTAGTCTGTCGGTAAAAGCCGAAATAAAAACAGATCAGAATATTTAACACAGTCGTATAATTTATCAGCAATAAACTTAAAGCAGTATTCTATTTCAAATTACGAAAGGCTCTTGTCTTTTATCTAACCTTTGCTGAAAACTGCGTGGTGTCAACTCAACAGATTCTGGAACCCATCGACTGCGGTAAATCTTAACGTTGTACAATCTCGTTTTCACGTAAGCACGAGCTTATCTTCGGGGGTATCTTCGTTCAAAGGCGAATAAAAAAAATTCGTGGCTAACCCCCATGAAATTGAAACGAAAAGTGATCTTCTGGCCATAATCTTGAATTTCCAGTGAAAAAACGAAGGCCAACCTCTTCATGAGAGTCAACAGGCGGCGCTATTTCGTTCCGATTTTGCGCTGTTTTCTATGGGCGCGTATTTGGCGTAGTGCACCATTAGGGTGCACTGAATTAATTCAAGCTCCATTGAAAATAGTGTAAAATCACCTTTAAAGCCCCATGGCAGGCCGATGAAGTCCCTGAGGCCTTTCAAAAAATATATATGTTTTCAGATTTCATTTGATTTTCAATTTTTAGTAGGTTAACCAATAAATTTTTTAATTATCCGCTTAAACAAACTCACCCCCAAGTGAATGTTCCTAAGGGTACAGTCCACTACGTTCAAGCCCCATTGAAAACAGTGTAAAATCAGCACTCTTCAGGGCCCAATAGCATGCACGCCGACATTCCTGAGATTTCTGAAACACAAATGAAATTCTTGTCTGGTCACTTATCTTTTAATTTCTTTCAATTTTTCGTGGGTTGACCAATTACATTTTTAATTATTCCCATAAAACAAAATTACCCCCCCCAAAAAAAGTGATGGTTTTTCCAAAGTCTGATTGCAGCCATTTTTCAAGTGGCAACCCTCCACTTTCTGTGGCACTTAGAACCATTTTAAACCGTAGTTTTTAGCCCCTCTGCTCTCATATGAAAGCTCAAAGACCCAGGGAGTTGATCCCAGCAACAATTTACACAATCTCACCATTTTGGGGGCCAAACAATCTCCTTTTTCTAAAGATACTGTGGGGCACTTGAAATGCTAATGAGCTGGTCAGAAATTCTCACTTGAATTAGTGGTCGGCACCCCTAAGTCTTCTCAGCGGCCATTTTTTCAAATGACATCCCTCACCTTCTGGGGCTCTTCTGACAAATCTTCAATCACATGTTTGTCTGCATTACCCCCAGATGGGTGCCCCTAAATCTACAAAGATGATTCTGGGCCATGCTGACACAATCCCACCATTTCTTGGCCCAGACCCTCTTTTCGAAAGAATCTGTAAGGGGTACTTTTTGTGCGCCTCCGCCTGGCGGAGAATTTTCCTTGAATGGGCACTGTACCCTTTGCTTTCAGGCTATATTGGGGAAGGGAACCAGTCTACTGTATTGTTTGAACGTCCGTCTGAGACCTGGACGTTCATATAATGTAGGCCTACGTAAATGTGCTCTCCCATTATGAATCTCATAGTCACAATTTGAAGTGAGTTTCTGTCGATTTCTCCTCAAAATACTGCGTTAAAGGCCGTTTTGGCCAGGCAGGAAGTATCTTAGTTCAACGCAGCAAGCATGAGCTTCTTCAAGAGAGCAGATTTGGTGATTTCGTTGTCGTTGCTGGCCGTTATCACGTTATGCTCGTCGTCTGACGGCCCGACACATTGTGTTCTTGATGAAAAGAGCTATTGTTCCTGTGCCATGTCGGACAACAGTGGGCGCTATGACCTCTCGCCGCTTTCTGATCACCCAAACCCGTATTTTCGCAGCATTGCCGGCCGCAATGGCTCCGAAAAGTTTGCTTACGATCCCTGTGTACCATTCACTATCAATGATCCGGTCAGCGGGAAGGAAACACAGTGTAAAAATGTTGCTGGGTGCCAGATGGATGTATCAGCAGCAGAACGTAAAACCAGATATTTCACCGTTGCTCGGCACTTCACAGCAGAGTTCCATTTTAACCCTAGTTCTTCACAGATGACAGTGCACTATACCAATGGTATGCTACTGATGTTGGGCATGATGATCATTCGATCATCGTGATCACACGATTACATTGAGTATTAGTCAAACGTGCATGACTTTGCTTTACATAACCATATATCAAAAACAAAAGGCAGTGTGCCTGCGGGCCAAGCTAAATCAAACATAACGTGGCCTATTGCATGCAATACTGCATGTACTGTGCGCTGTGTACATGAACCCTGCACATACATCGTTCTGGCGATGACGTCATTCAATCAGTCTAGGAGTATGAATGGCCTAAGGGGATTTTTTGTGGGTGGGGATATGCAGGACCTTTTTATTCATTTTGCGGTCACAATTAATGGGGTAAAATTAAATTTATGATGTTTTTGAAATGGTTACGTATTTAAAGCTGTTATTTTGAATTACTTCCCACGAACTAAATGTTTTCTATTTCTGTAATGGGCAGATATATGATCATACTGTAGATCATGTACTTTATGACAACTGTATGTTGGGCGTGTGCTGGATATATGCTGTCCCCTAGACTTAAAAATGAAGTCAGTACTTGTTTGATTTTACCTTAAATGGGCCTGAAGTTTGATGCACTTTGATGCTCTGAGCAATTAACAGTACATCAGGTACAGGTAGCTTAACAAACTGGGCATGTTGAGACAATGAAAGCTACAGATAGTCCCATTGGATAATGCCACTATTGGATCTTGTGACTGGCAACCACAGACTCCCAGGCTGTTTGGCCTTGGGGAGAGATGACCTGCTGGATCTTGTGGTGACTGGCAACCACAGACTCCCAGGCTGGGTGGCCTTAGGGAGAGATGACCTGTTGGATCTTGTTACACTGGTATGAGCAGGCGAGCCTCTTGGACAAATGATGTAGGCTGATGTGACTGGCAGGGTCTAGCCAAAGTAGGCTGGAGCTTGAGGGTTGGGATGAACTTACGTGTAAAACAGAAAGTGAGAAATTACAAATCTGAGACTTTCTGCCAATTCTGGGCATTGTGGCCTTTTTTTTTGTGAAAGTCACAAAATATTGCCCTGAGCTTCGAATCAAAATCTGGTCAGGGATCACATTTTCTTGTATTGCCTGTTTCCCCCTCGCAGAGGACATATTCCAACCGTTCACCATGGAAGTTAATTTAGTCTGCACCCCCCATGCTGATACCACCATGATGGAGTACGCGAAGGTGACCAGTAACGCGGCTGCCTTTAACCTTCGTTCCCCCCACGCCTGCCTTATCAAACCCTCAAGCTTGAGCACAGGGAGCATCCTCTGCATCATCTTCAGTTTATCTTTCATCGTTTACTTCGTCGGAGGTAGGTCTTTCATTATGTGTAGCAAACACCAAAGATACATGTACCTTGATGCATTTGTATGCTGCTACTGAGCACAGGACATTGAAGTAAATCTTAGCGTGAATGAAGGTACATGTAGAGTTTAACCTTTTTAATAAGAGATCCCTCAGACTTTGCAAATGGCTAGTCCAGTACCTTGTTATAACAGGAACCTTGTATTTTAAAGAATTTAAAGAATGAGTTGGTTCAGGTATATATTGACATAGCACAAGATTTTGGTCGGCCAATGAAAGGCACCAAGGCATGCATGGAGGCACTCATCTTTGGGGGTTATATCATCTCCCTAGGTACTCTGGTGCTCGTCTTTGTGCAAAACAGGCCACTCAACGAGTCTGTCCCGCCCAACCGAGATTTCTGGCTGGACCTGCCGGAGTTGATCAGGGACGGAGCCAAGTTTGCCTTTAACGGCTTCAAGGTCACCCAGCCGACCCACCAGCGGCTGGGCAGGGAAGAGGAGGAGGAAGACCACGCCTACCACGACGAACTCAACGAAGAAGAGGAGATGAGGCCCAGTCCGAGCACAGGTGATGTCTTCGACTAAATTGGTCCAAGGGGGGAGTGTGTAGGTTGACCAGGGCTGCGTAACATGGCCAAAGTCAGCCACGCCTGATCCGCTTGGTCATGGCTAGAAATGACACCTTCGTAGAAGCCGCTTGCCCACTGGCAAGTGGCTACATCCCTGCGCTATAGACATGAGTTGTTTCTGGCCATAGCCAAGTAAAGTTTGGACATGCCCAAGTTCAAGGTTCGATTTTGAGGGGCGTGTGGGTATCTCTTTACCATCCCATGAAAATGTGGTCTCCTTTCCCAACAGTGTTCCCCAATCTGTCTGTTGAACACTGTCCCAAAACACTGTGCATGCTTACATGTCTATTGTTTGTGCACTTTGGTTCCAGAGATTGAGGACTCGGCCATCGAGTCACAGTCACATGCAACATTAGTACTGGTCTGTAAAAACTCACATTGCTAAGAGAAGTTGGTTAACAAAGGTGTGAGTCATTTTGCACAAAGGAACTAGGCTTCATGCTAGACTGAAACAGAAGTAGCAAACCTCATTTCTAATTTCTAACTATGGTTAAATAGACCATTGTGTTACATTTTAGTTCTAGAATAACTTACCAAGGAGCTCCCAAATGTTTTAGTTCCTAATTGGGCCCGTGACAGTAAAAAATGGCACTGCCTATATTGTCTTGGTGCTGTGGCCTCATATTTTATACATGCTGGTAGAATTTCTTCGCTTCTCTCTGCAAATGTTGGAAAGCTAAGTATGTGTATGTGAGTAAGTTGACCCTTACGTTGTCCACTTGATCCATGATACCTTCTCATGAACAATAACAAAACTTTCTCATTTTGATACAAAATAAAGCATCTCAGGTGGAATTTTCTATCACTTGAAACCAAGTAAGTTGCATCTCCCACCTGGAATTCAATTCTTTTGCATTTGGATGTTCCCTTTTTTACATGTGTGTCCCCGGGCTATTCCTTGAGGTTTGGGGAACAATTTGTGACGGTGTCCTTGTTACCTGGATAACTTTTACCACCTGTCATGACCTGTAGAATATATCGTTTACTCTGTAAAAATCACACACACGTCCATAATCAGCCTTGCTGGATGTATAATTTGGAACCCACATGCTGGGAGATAGCTGTTCATTTTTACAGAACCCATGTAATGGTGGGCACCGTAACAAATTGTGCCCCAACCTCATGGAATGACCTATACATGCTATCATTGCTCAGGTTTGAAAGGGTTTCATTGTTTGTCATCGATCCTGTTTTAAGCATGTCTAGAACTCCATTTTGGTCTTAGATTTCCCTGCCTCCTCATCATTACTCTTCAGTATCTGCTGAAATAAAACACCTCCCTCTACTGGGACAAACTTTCCCTCATTGGCCTTGAGCCGGCAGCTGGACTCGTGCCCAGCCGCAGACAAATTTGGGCACAGCCTAGGAATGAAACCCTGAGTTATTGCATGGTGTTAAGTTCTGGCAGATTCAGATAGGGTTGAGATCAGGAGTGAATGCCACAGGTGGTTGGGGTCTGTCTTGTATTTTGAATGGCTATTAATTTAATACACTGGCATCACCAAGGATCACAGCAAATATGCTGCTGGCAGTGTTGAGGACATACATGTACCTACATGTATTAAATAGGTAACTATTAATAGGCATCTAATTGGTACCTGTACATGTACCTGTTCGCGTATGCGATCAATGCTTGGCACATGGGAATGCCCCCTTTGAAATTATGCGCAGCAGTCAATGTTTTAGTAAAATACATACAGTGTATTTGTTCATATTTTTTTGGGGGGTGGGGTGCCACTTTTTACACAAGCTACCATGAAAGTGGACACCTCCTCACTGTGCCCCTTGTGGGGAAAAAAAATTGATTTTATTTCCATGCAACTTAGTCAGGCGCTTTGAGAGGATGAATGCTAGGTTGACAGTAGTTCATTTGAATTGAGCAAACCTTCACGCCAAAGAACAATTGAGGTTAGCACTATATCAAGCTGCCATCCAGAGCTTAAAGAGAGCAGAGAGTGGCTGTGAAATTCAAGGAGATGAATATTAAAACAAATGTCCTGATTGTTCTTCTGTCTTCAGGACCCCCTGACTCTACGGATGGTTTCACAGCAGTACCTGTGTAAATCCCCTACCCCTGAACCTCCTGCACCAAGTACACTCTTCCAGATCTACAGGTTCACCTCCCCACGGAAAGACACACTCTCGTGTCCGATATAAAATATTTGTATGCAACTCCTGAAGTGTTCTGTGATGTCTTTATGTCAAACTCTTCTGTGTGCTACAGTGGGTAAGCATTCACCGTGTTAAGGGGGACAATTTGTCTTGTTAAGCCAATTTGGACCGAGCTGTGGGGACATGTCTGTGTCCCCACAACTTTTTCGGTCCCCACAAAATAGGTGACACATCGAGTGTACGCCCTCACAACTATGGAACAAGAGTGTGTGAGTTTGTTTCATAGACCCTTTGTGGGCCAAAGATCAAAATGGGTTCACGTAATGGAGGGTGTGTAAAACTTGTGTGGACTAAGCCACTTGAGATTTCCCCTCCGTGAGAATCAGTCATTTGGGGGCATTTGGGGGCTAGGATTATGAGGGCAAAATGAAGAAAAGTGAAAAAAAAAATCAAGCTTAATAAGTGTGGACAGTGCAAGAGAAGTGGCTTTTTTAGCTTTTTTTTTTCTAAATGTATGAGAATAAGGTATGTCCACACTAGAAATGTACATGTACCAGCAGTACACATGGAGGTGTACGGTTCCTTATTTGCTTTTAGTTTTGTTTGAAACTCTTTTTCAGGATTAGAATTTTATACAGTGGTAACCTACTCAGTAGAGTACTCCTCACAGAGAAACTAAGCGAATGACAAACCATTTTGTGATGTTTTTGTGCCATTTAAAGATATTGACATACCTTTACATGTATACGATTAGGTACGTTTCCATAATAGCAGCCTGAAGTGGTTTAGGTTGATTTGTGTGAAACTGAATACAAAAGAGTTTCAATAGAAAGTACTGAACTCGGACATGTCATGTAGAGTGATCCATTCCGAGATTTGGTTCGGAAAATATTGCAGAATTTGATTTTTGTTTTGGTTTTTCCTCAGCTTTTGGGTTTTTTTCAGTTGCAGAAATAGCCTTGTGTTAGATGACAGTGAGAGACATAAATGTACTTGTCTGGGTTTGGGTAATAATATTTTTGGATTATCAAACTTAGATATTAGAAATGAATTTGTAATGTGACACAAGTATTAGCTCATTAGCGTTAGGTGTGTGAACGTACATAAAATCCATTTTATTCATGAATGTGCAAGTAATTGATGACCAAATCACGTTTTGAATCTTTCACATAAACTGCCCTGCATATTTATGAATATGGTGTGCATAGTAACATGCACTGAGTTGTTAAGAGTGCAAGAGGTACCTTGCCTCACCACAGTACCATAGTTCTTGTGTGCAATGAAAATTATTTACCAAACCAAAAATATGCCTGCTATATGTATTGTAAATGATTTTAAGATATCAATGTTTAAATCAAGATGATTGTCTGCTTTCATATGTCTTCAATTTAATTGACAAAGTGAAAAACCTGAATACAAAAATGTATACAGAACAGTCAAGTTGTGAAATTCTATTTAAATCAAATGTTGTTTAATGCAGAGCTGCAAATTTGAACTTGTAGAAAATAATTACTTTCATTTTATGGCTGTTAAAAACTTAAAGTGTAAGACGTCATTTTTCAGTTTACTGGCAATCTCGTTCAAAAGTTTAGTATGGATAGAACTTTTATTGGTTTGAGAGTCAAGATATTCATATTTGTGTCTATTTATGCACGTACATGTATATGTACTTGTATGATGTATTTGGTGTTGGGTAAGAAAATAATTAAGGCCGGGGGTAAAATTTTACATAACCAGCCAATAAATGACACTGAATCAAGTTCATCTCATAGCTGGAAGTATAAGTAGGAATTAAACAGATTCTACTCCCTTGTTTTCGGGACAGTAGTCGTGGGAGGGGTGTAGCTGAAAGTCTGGTACTAAAGATCCTCGTAGTGAATGAGCGCGGGTTCACCGTGTGCACACTCACTGCACGAATCTACTGTTCCTTATCCGTTCACCTTGATGGAAACATTTTGTTCCTTCACGGCGCACTGTATTTTTTAAGGGAAATCTTTGGCAGTATAGGTATGCAATGAGCTGTTTGATTTGGGCTGGCACACTGCCCCAATTTTTTCAGGGAAATAAAACCTCCACGTTTTGGGATTACCTCTGAATTTTTATTGGCTTTTACCATAATTTATTCTTCGTGTTCTCACGTAATACAAAAGAAATGAATGTGTGTAAACCCAGAATAAGCACCATTCAAACGCTTTGATGCCACAAACTTCCTTTTGACCAAGCAGACAGAATAGTCGTTTAGGCCTACCCTTGTTTCTATAAATTCATGACAACTTTGCCTCCTCTTGCCAAGAAGGGGCAAATGCGGGCGCGATTAGGGTAATGGCAGATCTTCCTGACGAAGAAACTTCCATATCAAGGGTGTACAAGCCTTTCAACAAAAATACTGTTTTATTGTACAACGGTTCATATACCAAGCACAACGGGACAGTGTATGAAGCTGATCACGGAGATAATACTAATATATACAAAAAGAATGAGGTCTGTCAAAATGCAAGCTTTCATTATCACAGAAACTTCAGAGCAGCCTCTCCTCTTGTTCAAATGCAAAGTAGGCATACTGTGCACCAGTCAATGAACAGCTTAATAAAGCAAAGGATTTACGGCTCCTCAAACGATAAACCTTTTTACGTTTCCGACAATCTGATGTTGGCGGGAACAGTATATCGCCAAAGGGGAAAAAAGTGTCAGGATAGCAATGTTCGAGTTTTCTTAATATGTCCACTTCTTGGAGGAATTAGCTCAACATGAACTGTTGGGGTATTTCATGCAAGGAATCTTACAGAATAAATGGCTGCCAAACTGTGCCTTCCTTAATCATGCCAGGTTCTCCCCAAAGTCTGGAAGAATTTTACGAACCTACAAGACTTGAGGTTAAGAAGAAAGCCACAGTCAATGTTATGTGGGTGTTCAGGAGTGAAGGGGTATCAATGAAATAAACGCTGTTCTTAATCCATGCAAAAGTAAAACCAAATATGCCACAAAAGGAGGGTAAAAAAAAAATCAGGAAAGATTACTCACTGGAGGAAAGAAATCCATACTCTGCACGTTCCTCTTGCAAGCTAAATCTACGTATGTTCTTCGGTGGGGATCATTCAAGAGTTCAATGAAAAAAAGACTCCACACAGTGATGAAGTCATAAAAAATCTTACAGAAATCTTGTCTGAATGAATGCAGTTCAATCTGCAAATTAAAACTTTAACCTCCACCAATACTACATGGATTATATACCAACTCTTGCCAGTAAATTCAACAGATTTTTACAAACTTTGAGGTAATAATCACACGGGGAGTCTGTGGGATCACTTTATATTGGACACTGGGGAGAGTGGAATTATTCTCGGGTACTTCTATACACATACACTGACAAATTTGGTGCAATTTCTTTCTCGGATAAAAATTAATCCCGGGGAAAGATCTGACCTACAAGCGGATACCTGCATCTATATACCACTGGGATAGACTCACCGCAATAGTTTGGTTCAACTCACTTTCATTTTATCCATCCCGTACGAGACAATCTGAAGGGGGGTGGTACAGGCAGTCAGACCTTGTGGCCATGCCAAATCTCAATAATGAGTCACTGAACACTGGACTTACTGTCACAGCCAGAGACAGTTGAAGAAGACAACACTCCTGCTGCTGTTGTTACACAGATCCAGGGCTGGCCTCATATAAACTGGCTAGCAGTAACACATTCCACGAGTAATGGATTCATCCATTTTAATTGAGAGTGTGAGTATTTTTGGATGCAGCCAGAAGCCCTGATCCAGGTTGGCCATTCTTAGCCACCTGACAGTGGTACACTGCAGCAGACTACATCCCTTAATATGGTAACTCTTGGGCTGGGAATCGGTATAGCACCCTGCTTCACTCTGAACATATTAACATGCTCATCTGCATAAGGGTATTAGACTTAAAGAGCACTATAAGTGCCATACTTTTCCTGTCTTCTTGCAAATGTTGTTTCACACACTAGTTTTGCATATAAAAGCTCAATCTTTACATGTACATGTAATTTATCCATTGATTAAAATACACATTTCATTGGCAAACTTTCCACACCATTCCAAGTGAGATGCAGACTAGTTCAACGGGACTTACAACGTTGGACACTTTATCAAAAGGACTTTCAAGATTATATCAACTAAAAACACAAAAAAAATATCAACAACATCGAACAATTCATCGTGGAACAGGCCTCCTACCCCATAATTGACACATGTATACAGCCAAAAAACTGCTCCAAAAATGTAGAACAGTTCCCACCAATGATTGCACCACTGGACTCTATGAATAGTGCTTCACAATTCTCAGGCTCTTAAGTAGAATGTGGATCCGTAACCCACACATATACCTAAACTATGAATACACACCCTTCTTTGTGATGTTTACATCGCACCATTTAAAAAAGACATTTATCAGTATCAGCACATCTGAATACAATCAATATAAACTCACAAATGTACTATGTACAAAGTGGATTAGTTTCAAATTGATGTTAATTTACAGGTAGATGTACACAGGACAAGGTCACCACTATTGCTGGAGGGTTAAAGGGTTAAAGGTCAAGAGACACAAATGTTACCATGATGTACACACAGTTTCCTCAACACAGAATTCAGTTTATCCGTGCAGATGGTACCAAAAAAGACATGATTAACATTAAGGAATATTACCTGTCGTGACTATGCTCCTTTCCACATCACAGTATCTGTGGACAAGACTGGTTTATATTGCTGTATTATCCCATCGGACCCTTCAGGAAAACACACACTGCAGGATCAATTCACATATTTCTGGTATACATTTCCTTAAGCAGAGCCAACAAATTTAGTCACTGGTACATTAATAACAGCTTTTGAATAAGAGTTAGGTTCGAAAAACTTTTTTCCCTTGACCCTTTGTCTGACTTGTCTGCTGGTGACCTCTGAGTGACATTTAACCTTTGACCCAGCTAAGTAACACGGACTAACTATGCCTAGACCTATGAAACTAATGCCCATAAATGAAACGGCATACCATTTGATTTACAAATCGGGGATTCTGTAGTAAATTATTCAAACTTGCCTTCCCTAAGGCTCACACAGAAAAAGAAAATTGGTTTATTCAAAATCTTCTGCCATATTCAAATGGTCTTCTGTAAAAACTGTTCAGGGGTCCTTTATGTGTAACGCTGAACGTTTCCAGCATCTTGCAACATCCTGCTCACGTTTGCCTTCAACAGAAAACACCGAATAATCTTGATCGAGACGGTATGATCCCACCACATCAAAGGCTTCCAGAACTGGAAGGGACTGACACTGCACAATCCTAATAACCGCAGCATTTCGACTTTCTCATGGCGAGGCGTTGTCGACAGTTTCGCTTCACGTTAAGTGTTTTGGAGATATGACTAGGGCTGCCCCCCAAAAATACTGATTCACACACAACAGTGGAACTACTAGAGTTCTCCGGAGAATGTTGTTTATCACAGACGCTGTCCAAATGTACACAATCGAATGTGGACTCCTTAACATGTAGGAAGCTTTCATTTAATTGTCTGCCTGCGTATGGTACTGGGCAAGCCTTTAGATTCTGAGACTCTGAGACATAGTTTCGATGATGGATAAAGCTAGGTGATCTTGTTGGCCCCTGAAAAGAGAGCAACACTGTGCTATGAAAACAGGATGGCAGCTTCTGAGAAAGAACACTGATTTCACTTTGTTGAGAACACTGCAGGGTCACGATATTTTCCGTAAATGCTACAGAGAGAAATAAGCGTTTTATGCATCCTCTGAAGGGCAGTGTGTGTGTAACGTGAGATGCACATGTCAATTGACCACACAATAATTTGGCCTCAGGGTAGTTGCAGACTGGCGTTATTTTGGCAACGGAGGGCAGCCTTTGAAATTGCCATAACGCGAAGGTGGGCCTCATGGAAACTCCAGCGCAACAACGCGATGGTTCGATTCCCCGTGTACCATGTTGTCCGGGCAACGCTTTAATTCTGCCAGGAAAGTGCTGTGGGTGCACGGGCGCCGTAGCCAAACCTCAACACCAGTCGGCTATGTAGTCAAAGGCCTTGAAATAGTTCTGTTCATCCTCCGTGATTGTGCGGGGGTCGCGGGTCGGCGGGGTCAGGACGGGGCGTTCCCGGGTGAACTCTTCGTCAAAATTGCTGACATCTTCAGGGTGGCCCTGCATGGGAACAGATCAGGCAACAAATGAACACGACCATCGAACAAAGGACATTTTAACCACAATCCAAATATTTTCACTGCAGCTGGTAATTTGTGACATTTGTCAGACGATACTATCTTTATGGTATGATATACACCTTGATGTTGGAGTGAAATGGTTGCAGTAAAGTATCCTCCTCAGGGATGCAACTACTTGTCCAGCAGCTTCTATCTAGCCCCGTTTCTTTAAACTTCAGAATTCACGAGCCAAGTTTACAACAGGTTTACACACTATGCATTACACCAAGTACATGCAGTTTAACAAATGTCCTAGTATGTAGCCAATTTAAATACAGGGATGCGGTTGTCATGGTAGACACAGTTACAGTCGACGCCCAATGTTGCGTGCACTACAAGAAACAAAATACCATTACGTCAAGGGCAAATTCTGAGGGTCCTAATCTCTTTGGTTCTTTTGCTTTTCCTTATGAAAGTTGACCCTTCTATCTACATACTAAGAGCAATGTCCAATCCAATTCATTGCCAGCATGACCTGGATGAATGCTTCCAACAGCAGTGTATGATTTCTTGGCGTGCAGTGAATGCAGGCCTGGGTTCGAGCATGTACGATGACCGGGACTATGGTAAACTTGACACCACCCTAACAGTGACTCGGAAATTTCAATAGATTATGAAAGTTAGCATGGAGACATGAGAGAGAAACCGGTAAGAGGCCCACCAGTCGCGGGGGAGGGGGGCTGGCTCCAACAGTGATCCGAGGATGTATTAATAGTCAGGGAGAGATCAGGTTAGCATGGTGGTTCTATCCTTGCCTTCTACCTCTGCGGCCTGGGTTATATTGCCAACCGGTCCAAATATGGATTGGATTTTCAGTCCCTGACTCTGTGGGCTCTAACCAGAATATTCCTCTGGGGTTTTTCCCCCATCTGTAAAACTGTAACTCCTTCTCATTGTCTCCTCTCTACAGGCTTCTAAAGGCTCGCGAGCTACAATGCCAAGGGTGCTTGTGAGGAAGTGTTGGTTCCATTACCAGAAAAACTTCATCATAACGACAATAGGGATCGCTTGGCTGCAAGTGTGCCATTTATGGCTGTTGGCAAGGCACTTACTATGTTTGGAACAAATGGTGGCTGCGTTTTTCGCATCAGAAGCTCCTCCCATTGCACATTCTGAAATTACATAAACAGATCAACGGTACCATTAACAGGTAAAATAGAAATTCAGCATCCAACAGAAATTTTAAAAAGTTTGATTTTGACTGACATTATCAGTCCATAAAAAATACACTTTTTTCAGCTGTTTTGAAAAGAGTAAATACAATTCAACAAGACAACCACTCATAATTTGGACTGTATGCAATTGACTAAAGTGTACAGAGAATATGGAACTGTACGTTCAACTCACTTACTATGAAGGCCATTTTGTTGTTGTTTTTTGGACAATTCAACAATTTCAAGATAAAGGGTCTGTTTGTCTTATGTCACCATCGTGCTTTTGCCTGCCAGTGAGTGGCTGGTAAAAGTATGGCTAGCCACAAGTCAAAACACAAAAGAATAATTCACTGAGTGTCACAAAAATCTCTTGCACTTATCGAAATCTTAAATATTAAGCACTACTATTAACCACTGCATAAATTCTCGGCCCTTGTTAAAAGTAACAGGGTATATGGAAGCAAACTGTGATAACAATAAAAGGAGACATTTCCGTTTGCATTTGCCAACAGCAGACAATAGCATTGCAGGCAATATGGGAGCTATACAGGCTGCAGATGGACAGCATCCAACTGCAGCATTTTTACAACACTGCCAAGGTGACAAGGATGGGGCTCTGAAAAGCTGCGGGGGGGGAATCATTCAACCTCGTGCCAAAATGGAGCGCTTACTCTGAAGAAAGCCTGTTTCTTGACGTCTTCAGCATCTCTCCTGCTTGAGCCCAGTCGTCTCTCTGGGTTACGCCTCAGTAACTGTCATAAGAAAGAAAAAAACACAACACTCAGCATGGTCCTAAACAAAAAGAAACATGTTCTGTGTTCTAGCGGAACATTAGATAGCAAAAGATGCACAGAAAAAAAAGACACACTGCATTTTGTACACAAATAATCCATGACAAGGGAACCGCATCAAGGCATAATAATAAAAAACTACAGATTTCGCCAACTGAACCAACGCGAGTCCTCGCAAACAAGCTGTGAACATCCGCTTGAAATAGAATGCATTCTTCAACATTCGCTGATCGTGAGTGCGCAACACACTCTGTACGAGTAAGATTGACAGTTACAGCGCCCTCGCTTCGTTGTGCATGAGAGCACCCTTTCCAGCTCACCCGTCTCATGATGGCAATGGCTTCCGTTGAGAGGAATCGTGGGTAGCGGACTTCATCATTGACAATGCTGTCAAAGACTTCCTCCTCGTCATCACCAGGGAAAGGAGACTGGGACAACCAAAACGCAAGGAAAAAAAGGTGGACCAAACGAAATTGATGTGTTAGATGGCAAAAGTATTAAGCCACCACAGTTAATTACTCAATCTCCTAATACATAACTAATTGGAACGTACAGGTGAATTTGTCAATGCAAGAAGTCAGTGCATCTAATAGACACATTTCTGCACAGAACTAGAACCAGCAAAAGTGAATCATATCTGTCTCTGAAAACGCAGAGAATCTCATCCGATATGGACATGAGGCCATGGTTTTTTTGGTATTCACTGCATAAAAGCGCACGTTTATAACGGAGATCAATGGTGCATTTGAAGTAGAGCACGCTGAGTACGAATAACGCGTTTATTCATTGACGTATGGTCTTTGCGAACACGCAGAATGCGTGCATGAACCCGCATGGAAAACTTACAACCATCTTTCTTTCGTCACTTAGGGGTGCACTTCAACTCGGGGCGGATACTGCCCAACCCCATGAGATCCCCAACGATTTTTCAAACCGCAGCCTTTTTTCAGTCTTCAGCTTTGCCCAATTTTTGTCACGGGAAGCCAAACACTCCTGTCTGAACACAAAAGGACTCTATCTGAGGGCAAAGATGATGTCGAAGCTGGGGACCTCACCAAACTCTGTCAAAGGCCACTGATTACATCTCAAATAAACTACTTTGTTGGAATCACTCAGCCTTGGCTTGAATTACACACGTCTCTATGGGACGTGGCTGCAGCCACAACCACAGAGTCGTGCGATTTCAAGCCGCAGCCAAGTAATTCCGACACAGCCTCAACAATCTCTGCAGGCTTGTTCCCGGACTCACCTCTCCTACTAGCATTTCAAAGATGAGGACTCCCAGGCCCCACCAGTCTACCGCTCTCGTGTAGGACGGTTCTGTCAGTACCTCCGGTGCCAGGAACTCGGGGGTGCCACAGAAGGTACTGGTGCGGTCCCCAAACCCCATGCCCTCCTTGCACAGGCCAAAGTCTGCAATCTTCAAGAAGCCTTCCTGGTCTAGCAGAAGGTTGTCTAGCTTCAAATCTCTGCCCGATTGAACCATAAAATGCTCGTGTTGAACCTTTTGAATTTTTTCAGTGCAGATGTTTGGTAGCCTATCTTGGTTACTTATGATGTCATAAGTTTTGGAAGAAATGAACACTTTCAGCAGTGTGTACCAAATTTTATATCCTGAAAACCAGCGACCCATCACTCCCAAGCCAGGCTAAAGAATAACATGATCTTGAAAAATACACACAAACAATAAAACATTCCCAACTTTCACAGTCTGCCAAAGCCTTCTGGATCACTTTGACGGATGAAAATTATGAAAGTATCAAGCATGAAAGAACATCCACATGGTTTGGGGTATCTTGACATAAATCACGTATGATCAAGCAAGCACAGCTGTCAACCTTCTTTGCATTTTCAAACTGCTCATTTTTTTTTTTACACTTTCGACATGAATATCTGACCAACCTGTAAACTATGTTGTTTTCGTGGAGATACTGCAAACCAAGCACCACACACGCCGAGTAGAATCTGGACAAAAAATAATTCTGAGGTGATGAAACTGCAGGTCATATGAGCGTGAGTAGGAGGAGAGTATTATATGGTACATGTAGAAGCAACGGGACAAACAATGCCCTCTCTCTGGAGGTACAGTGAAACACGACTTGCTTGGCACACAGCAAGTCTGGCTACAATGAGTGAGCCGAGCCGCACCGTGTGTGGCTTTCACAAAGGCGTTCCTCAACTTACACTGTCCGGGGCTCCGAGAAGACATCCGTGTGAATGTGCATCATGAGGTCCCCACCGATGGCATACTCCATGACGAAGCAGACGTGGGCCTCGGTCTGGAAGCAGGCAAACAGGTTGACCAGGAAGGGGTGTCTCATGCTGTTGGCCGTCTCAAAGATCCGCTTCTCACACATCAAGCTGGAAAGATAACGATCAAGAAGATACTTTAGTCAGCGCAAAACCATTGTGAGGACAAGCGGAACAACCTACATGAAACAAGTACTTAAGTACTTTCTAACAGTCTGCAAGCCTTCCTTCGAAAAAAAAACATATACCTGACTCAAACACTGACAAAAAAGTTAAAGTCCATCTCCACCAAATGGTTACAGCCAAAAATTCCTTGGACACTGATTATGCGATATGCCTGCCACCCCGAACCATTCTAAATGACCAATTTAATGAAAGAGTTGTTAACACCACGGTGGAATTCTTTTTAGTAGTACATGCATACCGATTTCCTCGCCTAAAAAGACGGACCAGAGATGAAATGGACTTTTAGTTTATGGAACAGGTTGAGCTCAGATTTCAATAAATACATTATTGATCGAGGTTTGTTAACACCATTTCTAAGTTTGATTATGTGGTATGTTCTTTCACCTTCTAAACACAAAACGGTACATTCATTTTAAAAGCAAATTAAGGAAATACAGCTGAAATACACAGAGATTATGCAACTGTAGGCTCAAGTCACTCTTCTGAAGAACTTGCTTTCCTACTATGGAGGGACGAACACCTGCTCAGAAAGACCCCTAGGGAACCCCCCTCACCTCTCCACTTCTTCTCTCGCGATGATGTCACCCTTCTTCAGCGCCTTGATGGCGAAGAGCTCACCCGTATTCTTGTACTCGGCAAGGAGCACCTTACCAAAGTGGCCACGGCCGAGCACACTGATGCAGCGGAAGTTATCCATAGTGAGGAAGTTACCAGAGCTGCCATATCGTCAACAACAAAAAAAAAAGAATGATGCAAATCATTTCAAAGATTACAGACAGACAGACGTGGAAATGACAGATGATGAGAACTTCAAATGTGAATATAATTTAATCACACGCTTGAATCTAATCCAATCTTGTTCGACTCTGTAAGAATCGACAAAGAATAAAGGTACAGAACACAGTAAGAAAAAAATTGAGACAAATTGGTCAGGGTGAAGGTCATTTTGAAACAGAAAAAAAACTTGTGCTAGAAGTGGAAGTTTACAAAAGATGCCATACAGGATGGATTCAAAAGATACCTATATTTGAGTGAAACAGATGGCCCACAACAGACAAGTTTAGCGAAGCAGAACCACTCCGTTTTGAACTGGTCCCAGCCTCTCTGAACCGGTTGGAACTGATTCCCACCCGAGACAATGGGGCCGTACCTGATTTCCCGTGGCTGAGCTGCTACACTTGCAGGTGGCGACACAGGTGTGGAGGCCTGGGGAACAATTGGTCTGGACTCGGACTCTGGCAGGTCTGGCGTGGGGGCTGCAGAGCTGGGGCCCGGACTACCCAAAAAGTCAAATGCAGATAGTGCATCCTTGGAAAATAAAAATACCCATTGTTGATGGTCTCTCAAATAGGTGTAACACTATACCTGTACTATCTTAATTAAAATCGTTTTGTACAATTACAAACATGTACATGTATTTTCAGGAGCTTCTGAGGCAGGTTTTTGTTACTTTATTGATAAATCACTTCTTCTAAAGGACTGAATGCCCTTCGTAGGACAGAACAGATAAGATTTACAGATTTCTGTGACAAAGCATTGGTTTGGAAGGATCAATCCCTGCATCAGGTACGTGTATAGCGTACATGTCTGTCCTCACAGAAGTGCAGAGGATGGCCTTTGGCTGGCATTGGCGCCACTTGTTTCACTTTTGGAGTTCTAAAACAATTCCACTCAACATGCCTAAGGCCTCCATGAAGGGAAGGGAAGGGGCAACCTGTTCACTAACACTGAGTCTCACTGTACGAGCCATGTTCAGTGTTCCATCACTCAGATACCAAATCCACACAATCCGCTTTATGCTAGTGTTAGGGCTTGGATGGTATTTCAGTATTATCGAATAGCAGCAGTATTTCTTCAATACCGAAAAATACTGACTGGCGATCCATAAATACCAAAACACCAGCAAATAACAAGGAATTTTGATACCATGTATTCTTGCTACTACGCTTTGAAAATAAAGGAAAAGCACCATATCGTGGTATTTCACTGCATATTTTTAGTACAAGTCATCCAGTGTAAGGTCTGCACTCTGACTTACATGTAGACTTGGTAAAATGAAGCTTATCGACTACCGACCCACCAGCCAAAAGCCTCTGAAGTTTTATTATTAACCGGTCATTGTGTTTGTGGTTTTGGTGTACATGGACATTAGCTTTTAGAGTGGAGTCTGAAGTTGTTGGCATTCCTATTGAATGTCGCTTCTTATCGCGGTTGCTTTTTGATGACACACACTTAATATCCCACCACAAAGAATATTGCTGTATTAGTGAATATCGTGGTAATTTTGACACAAATATCACGGCATTAAAAAAATGCAATGTCGTCCACGCCTAACTGGCATACAAAACATGCTTGCAAACATGTTGATCAGTGAACAATGGCAGCCATTAGAGTGACTGGAGTTCACTTACCCAACATAGCAGATTGAGAAGCCCACACGTCAAACGGAGACACATCTTGCCAAAAGATGACTTTTCATTATTCATATCGCTTTGTCTACATGTACTATGCACGTCTACCAACAACACAGCTCTCGTTAGGCAAGAACAAGTGGCTTATAAACTCCAACAGATCCCAAAAGTTACAGAAACAAGAATCACCAAAAGGCTGTACATGTGTGTTTAAAACCGTCTCTTCTGTTAATTATACATTACGAAGCAAAAAGCTTTGTGCATCATTTTTCGCAATGCACACGTACACTACAGAGAGGAAATGGCACCACAGCCAGAAAAATCAAAACGGTTTCCTGCTTTCCAGAGATCACAGAGTGCCGCTGTTTCTGAGTGAACATCCTGTAAAGTTTCCTGAGAACACTTCCAGGTTCACGTATCTGTGGCTTTTTTCCTACCAGTTGCTTTGATGGTTGAATTATGGGGAGTCACTGGCCCTGACCTGGAGCTTGACATACATGTACCCACTGCTGCACACAGTGTTGTGAAGAAATCTGCATCTAGTGCAATATACTACTTTAACTGCAAGAGCTATATTTTGGTTTTTCACAATAGAAATTGTCAGCCCTAACAGTACCAACGTTCCAGGCTTTAGGACTGTAACACTAATAAGATCAAAAATTCTGCTTTGAATGTTATTTCACTGAGTGAGCTATGAAGCTCATGAACTGATGTTAAACTGTTTGTCTTTATTGCAAGGAGACGCACTTCAGACTTGCTTCGCAGGACTTGTTTTTAGGGTTACACAGGCATTTACTATAGAAACAGAATACCAGTTCCCTGATGCCTACAAAATGGTAGCCTCCATGTCACTCCACTTGGAGTCTCTCCTAATGAGATACGGTACTGTCTCCTCCAATGCTCTTCTGGTGAAGGTTAATACCCTCACAGGCTGACCAGCAAAAATTTGTACCCAACTTGCCCACTGGGCCAGGGTACATGGGTGAGATGAAGGAATGATGAAAATTCCACCTAACATTCAAGTACAGCATTTGTAACAATGGCGACAATAACATACCATGTCTTTCAGAGCTTTAAAACCAAACAAAAGAATTTGGAGTTTGAAACCCTTAAATCTGGGAAAAATTTGGAGAAATTCATGTAGATATCAAGCCTCACCTCCACTTCATGTTCTGGTGCCCCATGCTTGCCCCCCTGGGCCCCATTGGGCTTCTTCAGGGAAGGGGCCTCGCCGCTCTGATCGATCTCGGGCAGCTCCCCTTCGAAGCTGAGCCGCTGGACGGGTGGGGGGATGACAGGGGGCCGCTCCCGCACGGGCGGGGCCAGGGAGGGGGGCAGAGCGCCACCATTTCCCGCCGGGCTGAGGGTGGTCGGGGAGGTGCACGTGGGAGGGATGGCCCGCTTCATCAGCCGGCCCCAGGTGGCTACGTTGATGTTCATCTGGTTGGCACGCAGGAAGTTCTTGCCTGACATTTGAATCAAAATGCAACATACATGAACATACGGATCTTTGTTGTTTTTTTTGTTTTTTTAAATGGGCTTACAAAAAAACTGCCAGGGTAAGATGATCATGGTTAAGGTTTTCATTGTGATTTTTCCCATATTCAAATAAATGAAGATACCATCACACTTTGAAAATTCATCAGAAAGAGTGAAACTGGTCCGGAAGTAGGCCAGATTTTGTACACAGTTCCCAGTTCATCATTACATGTGGGATTTGAGTCCCTCGAATTTGTTTGAGAAAATTGAGGTCATCCTAGCTAAACTTTGCGCCTGAAATGTTTCACCTGTTATACGCAGAGTAAAAGAGTGACATCCACTTCTCTTTTATTTGTGCAATCTTCCGGTGTTATGGGAACGTAAATGAGCTTGCTACGGGGCACAGAAAGTGTTTTAAATTCCGGCTTGTATGTTTCACTATGTAGTGGTACACCATTAGGTGGTTGTTTGTGATGGAATAACAAAAAATATATACTGATACAAAAGACATGCTTTTGTCTCATTCGTGTTGCCAGTAAGGGCCCGAGCTGGACCGAGAGGGAGCGATTCTGCTCACAACGGAGGCTCCTTTGACAAACTTCCCTTTGCTGGATTACAAACAACTACAGAACGCATGCGCTGCGTGTGTGTTACTACCAACAAAGTGGACACTCCCTACCAGCATGGCTTGACACTCCCTACCAGCATGGCTCTTTTCAACCGATGAGGAGGGTGTTTCTGTCCAAGGCAGATAGTCCGTTGTGCCTTTTAACAGAAGGGGTACTTCAAATTTTGAACCTTTTCAATTCAGTACTTAAAAAAGGACATGAATTTTTTTGAGTCATAAAAACCTATCCAGTCGAGCATTTACAAAATAATTCTTGATACGGTCGAGCTGCTGACTCTCACGCACCATTTCAATCATACACAGGTCATGGTTAGGTACAAAAACACATACAGCTAGCATGAATGACAAACGATGCAAGACTAGGTAAATGAGATCCATTCCTCGGGCTGCTAGGACAGGTTGGTGAACTGAAGGGTGTACCTTTGTATTTGGGGAATATCTTTCTCTGCCGCTGCAGTTTTGTCCGCCTCTCAATGCTCGGATTGAAGAACGTGATCTATATAGATGAAGAAGGTGGAAGTTTAAATGCCAACTTTGGCGATGGATAAAGTATAGAGACCTATAAAGAAAACTACCTACAGCCATTTATTTTCTTAAGGGACTTCAAGTTTGACCATTTATTTGTAGTCCATAACTAACATTTACTTACAAATTCACTGATTGGAAGATGCTTTGCTAACTTCCAATGTTACCAAAGTGCTGTGGTCAACTGAAATTTCCCCCCGAGATGGTTGAACCCCTACCTCGGCAAACAGCATGCCTGCAGGTTCTAGGTTAAGGACCAGACCGTGTCTTTGGTTGTCTAGAAAGTCCTCTAGTCGAAGGAACTTGATGGCACACAGCGACCGCCAGTCCTTGTACAGTACAGATATCTCCAGCTCACGAGACTGCAGAGGAAAGAAGAACGAGGGCTTCAGTAAAATTGGTAAATTGGTAAAATACCAATTTGTTTATTACTACCAAGTATTGCTACTATTTCTAGTAATAATTTTTGAATAACAAAGGAATTCCAATGTGATGGAAAAAAGGCTCTGTTGTAAACACCTGAAAAACTAGGGAATCGACCTGACCTGTGAGAAAGTTGCCCATCTGATTTCATCAAAATATGTGCAACTGACCTTGTCTAACTCTATGCTGAACCGTTGACTCCAACACTGGTTACTGATGGGCTTGAAGGATGTCTGCCCCACCTGAATATTGTCCAGCTTCAAGATGGCACTGATGTCATCTGCAAAGTTTGGAAAAGAAAACTTAGGAGAATTACGAGCCTGTCTGTAGTCGAAATGAAATACTAAGACTAGCTAACCCATACCGTGATTCCAGACTTTTCAATGACGGAGCAGAAATGAAAGAAAAGAAAAGATACCGGTACTCGAGCTGAAGAGGTTCACATTTTGGGTTACATTTAGAAAATCATGATTCTGAGCCAAAACTGCAAAAAAATGAGCAGAAATAATCCCCACCAGCTGCAGAATGGATTCTCTTTGCAAACTAGAGGGGGAGGTATAAAGAAGGAAAAAAAAGGAAGCGATCTTTCTTAGAACTGATCTGTGAGTCTGCTTGTTTGACAAGTTTGTAGTGGAATTCATGTACGCCAGAGTTCAAGTTAAATGAACATTTTCCTGGTCACCTGCTTTGTTTATGCAGTGGTACATGTAATACCATTTTCCCCCCCGACTTGTCAATGGTTCATGATTATAAATTCAGGGCCCATTTAAAATGAACGCACAAGCAATAATCAAAGTGGTGACAGAAAGTGCTACGCAGCCTGATACATGTGCATTTCATAGACAAACTGCTTGGTATGCCAATCACCGACTCTTCTCATGAACAATGCCAACCCCCCCTCCCCACACGTACACAACGGGAGAATCAAAGGAGGGATGAGCAATTACTAAATCATGCCAGTCAAGTCCCTGACAAGACAACATAATGGTCAGCACGATATCTTTGAAAAATAAGGTTTTATACCGGTACAACAGGGTTAACGGCTTTACTAAGATGCCTGCTTTCATTGCACAAAAACCCCAAAGGACCCACGGTTATTAATTTCATCGTATCGCATGGGGTATCCTTTATCGCTTGCTGTATACATAAATGGGCCCCAAGTTTGAAAACATTTAGTAACAATGATGATTAGCAGCTAGAATCCTGGCTCACCAAGCCTCTCTATTTGTCACCAGTGAGGGAGAGCTTGTTCATAGAATGGATACTGAGCACTGGCCACAAATGTTACACAGCACCCTCAATAGTACATGTACATACATGTATGCAAGAAAACGGGGCACCTACTGGACAACTCGTCCCTTCTCGTACTGGACGACCTGCTACTGGCCCTGCCATGAAAGGACGTCTTCCCCTTGAGCAGCCCCCGGCTCTCCCCTGGGCTAAAGGCCCCTCCCGAGGAGGAGTTGGTCTTGGACCTGTTGGGGACCGTCTCCAGGACGTCTTGGCAGCCCATTAAACGAACCTCTAGCCTGCCTGTTAGGGCGGCAGGCTTGGGCAAGGTGCCATAGGACTAGAGAGCGAGAAAGAACACACAAGAATAGCCAAAACATTTTGCAGGAAAATGACAGTAAAAAACAAATTGATGGCTCTACAAAGACACTCGATACCATCTTTGATTTCCAACCTACCCAAACTGTTAACACCTGTCCTCAAGACAGGTGGACAAGAAGCGAGTTAAGACTGTGAATGAAAGATAGGCAGACAGTCAGCTACAGTGGAAACATGGACAGACACAAAGACGATACTTTACCTGCGACTTTCCTGTGGCTAGTTCATCTTTAATCTGATTGATCTTCTCCGTGTCTGAATCTAGCGGCAGTTCCTTTAGCCTCTTCTCTAGGGCTAGCCTAAGGATGTCCAACTTGTGACTGGACTCAATTGTTCCCCGTTCAGCCTAGAGTAAAGCATAATTATGAATGTGTTTTTACAGACTTTTGAATTTTAAGTTTGATTTATTTACAAGTTTTACTTTTTCCACTATCAATGTTCTATGCAACTTCACCGTAACTAAAATGTTTTTAGTGTGCTATTTAGGTATAATGGGTTTTATAATAATTTCAATTTTTACTTATTGTATTTTAATTGAGGGCCGATATGGGAAGCAGTACTGTGCACTGATGGAGCTTACATGTACCCTCATTAAAAAGACTTCAATAAATAAATATATAAACAGGACAAGGTCTGTTTAGACTATGACCTGCTGTAATTTATGACCAATAGCTGAATATCACAGACAACTTGACAGCAGTTGACATACATATGGATCTTCAAAGGTACCCACAATTTGGAATTTTATCCTCAGAGTAGGTAATGTTTACTTGCCATTTGTACATACAGCAAAAAAACAGCCAAATATGGCAAAATAAGTGCAAGCTTATCAAAACTAATAATTTATTTTCAAGTTTCTTATCGCTTTTTCTCTTGTTTCTCGTAGGTCTCAGGAAATGTTTAATAAAACTTTGAATTTCAGAGAAAGCAATATGGGAACATGTTCACCCCTATTTTTATGAGTGACTAAAGTTTTTCACGCCTCATGAAATACCAGTGTGAATGTGAACCAGAAATTTCCCAAAATTCTCAATTCCCATTTACAGCATTAATTTTTGATTGTAATTTACTGAACAAATCCAAACACTACTTACATGCATGTACCTACAAATATCTATAATTTCAGTGGTGAAGCAATCAAAATCAACACATGTACTTCTGAAGCATAAACAAAGTACATGTACATCTCAAAAATGAAAAACAAACAGAAGTGATATATACATGTACATGTATTGACATTTTTAACTCGCACTAAAATTTGGGAGTACCTCTGCCAGTCCCTTCTTGACATTTTTAACTCGCACTAAAATTTGGGAGTACCTCTGCCAGTCCCTTCTTGTCGGATGACTTGCTCTCGCTCAGCATCTTGGAGACATTCCTGAATCCTTCCAAGACAGCATGCTCAATCTTGAAATGATGTCTCAGCTCCTCAATGCGAAACTGCAGAGGGCTCAAGTGCAGATCAGCAGCAGAAGCGCGGCGGTAGCCTGAAAGTATGAAAATCATTGAGAAACCACCAACAAAATTTATATGTCGAATATATTGTACATGCTTGTTGAGCAAGTTTCTGGACTGATATGTTGAGATCACATTCTGGGCAAATCTCAGACGAGGCAACATGGGCACTGTCAATGAAGATCTTAATCATTATTTAGTACATGTACAAAGTACGTACACTGTACCTCTCTAAAAGTGAAACTTGCAAACATGCCAGGCTACTGGACTTCTATGGTCACACTGTAACATCAACCAGGATGTCAGGTTTCATCCGAAATGCAGAATGTGCTAGCACTTATCAGGATACATTATACATGTACCTGGCATTCTCACTTGAATTTCACTGTTCCTCGTGCACAATATGTAACATGTACGGTACACGTACATGTACCAGTACCTAGCATTCTCACTTGAATTTCACTGTTCCTCGTGCACAATATACGGTACACGTATGCATGTACATGTACATGTACTGGTCAGTACACATAAAAAGGTCATTTCTACCATACAAGGTATGTTTTGGAAGTACAGGTATTTGACAAATCAATGGCGCTGATGTGTTATAAATTAGTATATTGTACCGCTCCGTGTACTGGACATGTACGAGTACAAGTCCTTGCATACTGCAGCCTGTCAAGTGTCATAAACAAGCGTAGCCCTAGAAATACCGTATGGGTAAATGTAGCTCTAAATAAGGTTAACACTGGGGCCACATCTACCGGTACGAATTACACATGAATAAATCCCATTCTAATACATGTACATGTGACCCTTTCAGAAGAAATGAATAAAGCAAGTGTCTTATATGGTACATGTGTAAAGGGGTACATGTACATGTACAGTATATGAACTGGTACTCACCCACAAGACAAAAAATCATGATGACTGCAGTATGCAAGAGCTCAAAACCTACACTTGTTGGAACTTTGAACTTGGTACACTCTTACAACAATCCATCCAAAACTTAAAGAAACTGAGAGGGTTTTTCCACCACTTGATACTTGCACAGATGAAAGGCACTGGGAAAAATTATGCAAAAATATGTTAAGATGGCACAAGGAGACAAAGGGCAGACTGTCCCACCACTACAAGTTTTGGATCACAGAGTGTAATGAAGTTAACACATGGTCTTGGTCTCTGGCCTCTCCAACACTGAAGGCTCTGTTTTCACTGGCCATGTGGTTAGCTTTGTACACAATCTACACAGCCACAGGCCATGTGTGCAAGTGTTGGGCTGGCCCCCATCAATAAAAATTAGGCTGCTGTTACACATGTACATATAGGTGACTCATAATAAATAATCAACACTGGGCCAACTGATCTGCTGTCTTGTTACTGATGATTTGGAAAAAAAAATCTGTGCCCTGTGGATTTTTTCGAGTGAGAGTTCTGTCTACTGATGTAGGCCTACATGTACCTGTTCTTTTTTTATGACAAAAATTTACAACAGGGTCCTACGACTACACAGTAGTGGGACAATCCAAACTTTGTAATCTCCCAAAAATCCTTAAATGACCCGTAAAATCTAATGAAAAATCCAGCCCCACCACTGAAGTTATCTTTTGATGTATTGAAGCTTTGTAAAAACTTGGAGCCATCATTTGTGCCAATTTTTTTCCTTCAAAAAAAAGAGCATTTTTTCCTTGCCCTCCCTGCATCCTGAATTCCCTTTCAGGCTTCCAGTACCCAGTACTGTTCATGCAGTAAACAGCTCCACAGAGCTGGCTGGACACGCCATCCTTCCAAAACTTTGAGACCCCAGCATCACCACCTTGAGGAAAAAAATTGTCAGGGAAGACTCCAGACTGGAACCCCTTAAACAATATACATGTACCATATACAGTCAGTCAGTCAGTACTCACTACATACATGACATACATGTACATGTATACTTGGTAATCAATCAGAACCTTGATGATAATTTTATGTACATGTATGTGGCTGGATAAACCATAGAGCTATGGATAAACTGACTTGTTTCCTGCATGTAATATAAACCTTTAATGGGGGCTAACTTGACTGGCAAGGCATAAGAGATGAGACAATAGGAAGGTCTTTACAATGGCCTAAGGATTATGTCCAATATGCAGTGACTCATAACAAGCAAACAATTGTCTTGTTGTTCAGGTAAAGTACATGTACATGTACATGACTACATGTACCAGCATGTACATGTAGCCACTGTACAAAGTCTTGTATGGTAGGGCCTACCCGGTACATGCAACAAAACTTGAAGGCAAATTCTACTGCATGTCGTGCATGTGGGAGGGGGGGTGAGAACTCTTAACTCAAGCTTCCTTGAACTTCAATATTTAGATTTCACAAAGAAAAATTTCTAACATTTAACAAAATTTCTTACACGATAAACGTGAAAAGAAATTATTATGGGGAAAAGCTGACAAAGAACTACTGACCTTTTTTAAAACCCACATGTAGAGGTTATCAGTACGCATTTTGCATGATTTGATGAAAGCAGGAATTCCATCTCAAAATCTGAATGTACATACTTCTTGTATAAACTACAGTACACTTACATGTACACAGTCTGTACATACTTTCCAAGCCCATCCCTGAAAAGTATTCACCTGTGTATCATATTACAAAGCCACATCCATCAATTTATTACTAGCCTAGAGGGTTACCCTGTGGCAGCCCTGCAAATAGACGTTTCTGTCTTACTTGGAAAATCAAAGTTGATTTAGAAGGTGAAGAGTGCATAATAGACTTCAGACCATTTACACTGATACATGGACATGTACTGGTACCGTACATGTACGGATACATGTATCTTTTCCATTAGTGTACATTCAATTGAAGTCAATTTATTATTTATCACATTGATAAAAACATGAACTTTGACTTCCAGGTCACAATCACACATGTAGGCCCTACATAACAAACGTTAAAGCATTAAAATGTACATGTAATTGAAAATCTAATAATTCCATGATCAAGAACGAGGTTCCTGCCTCAGCAACTTTGGAAAAAACTTCAGTGTCTTTTGCTAATCAAGTTTACACACTGTGAATAACCATGAAGAACAAAACTGGTAGCATGTATATGTACATGTAAATGCACATGTACATGTACTTGTGACATCCTGATTTCAATCCAAGACAAACTGGGATACATGTAGGCCTATACTGTACATGTACCAAAGAATTTCTGAATGCTGACTAAAGCCATAACCATGTGTACATGTACATGTCCCAGCATGTACATGTATTTTTCATGGTCATGTAAACAAACTGCCTGCGTGTCTTGAAACGTATAACAATGACATAATTCACTGATATTACCATAACTGTAAAAATAAACCAAAAATCCATGGCTCTACACGACTTGCTGTTGTGGCTGGATGACTCATGTAACGATGATTTCTTTTTTTAATTGCACGGTATTAGAACATGTATCAGAACAGGTACAATTGTACCTTGTAACTGCATGAACTTGTACAAAACACAGCCACCAGTGTGCTGTGAACCAAATGCCTTGATGATACACGTACACGTGTACCTGGCTCTGGGTGTATGCAATACAGAGTTAGGGATGCACCTTCAGTATTTGTGAACGGCGCCCTCAGGAGTTGAAACAATTCACAAACTGAAACCAAAACTACCTGTACACTGTACAGTGTAGGTCTAACCCAGCTGGAGTGGATATAAGCCGTACATGTACATGTACGTTTCTGTACAGTGGGCCAACATTTTGGCAACATTAGTTTGAACAGAATGAGATTCCCCGATCCCCCATCATCTACCGTTACCAAGTACCGGTACACATCTCCCATACTGGGGATAAAACGGATGTCAGACAACTCCACCATTTGCCAACTCGACTTCGGACGACTCGACCGTTGAGACAACTTGACTGTTTGCCAAGTCGTCCGTTGGGACAACTCAACTTTGACAGAGAGACAACTCGACCAGTGAAATTTTTTCACATAATACAGTCGTTTTCCAAGTTCAAGATAGCAAAGTTATTCAGTCAGATTGCAGCTCTACAAAAATCCTCAAAATCCAATGAAATGTGGTCCCCATCCATCTTATGTGACAGAGATACCATGGTTACCACCAAATCAGTTTCAAATTTCAACTTTTAATTCAGACATACAGGATCGACAAAAGTGGTGACACTTTTCCTCGTTCTGGATCGGTTTCCAGAAAGAAACCGAGTGAGCCGCAAATCTATTTTCAGCCAGAACAACTGTAAAAACCTTATATACATTTTCGAATGAAAAATTCCTCAATTTAGAAAACTTGGTTCATAAATAAGAATTCCAATGAATTTTTAAAAAATTGGATCTTGTGTAAATTTCAACTCAACTTTTTCAGCTGCACAGCGTGAGTCATCAACAATAACTACTTTGTGCCGCACAGATGACGAACCCATTACGTCACGTACATTTCTGAAACGTCCGTATAGCGAGATGAGTTTGCAAAGTATATTGCATGCATGCACTTAATGCATGATCCAAAACTATGAAACAATATGCGTTCAGTTTTCGGCCAGTTTTAATAAAACAAAACTTCAAAAGTCATTTTGATTAAACAGACATTAGAAGCAAGAGTTTATATGACCGTTGAGTGTGAAAAAAGGATTTGGGATCACTCGCAGTGACATATCGCCCTAGACAATGGATGACTTGTCTCAATGGATGACTTGTCTCTCCCTTTTACACACGGACGGTCAAGTTGTCTCAACGGTCAAGTAGTCTCAACGGTCGAGTTTTCCAAAGTCGCATTAGCAAACGGTTGTCCCGACCCCAATAAAACAATCATGCAGTGTTCTAAAATAACCAACTTCCCTCACAGACAATGGAATCTGGCCTGTGAGTGGTGGCAACCATCAATTGATGACAATATCCCCCGTGGGATACAACAGAAAAACCAAAAAAAGACATTTTCAGCTGATTCAGGTTTCAATCTACATGTACACATACATGTATGTATCTAGTACATGTACTTATAAATATTAGCGTCCCTTACAAAATTGGAAACTACAACAAAAAACTAAGGTACCGTACATGTACAATGTACATGTAATCTGTTTAACTCTAGACTCGGTGATGACAAATAATCTTGAAAAAACGGCCGCAAACAGAGGTGACAACAAAAGAGAGCGAAGGGACTACAGAAACTGAAATGCCTTTCCCTGTGGTTTGTCAACATGAGATCTAGAGTTCAACTTCGGTCAAGGGATTGTTTTGCACTGGCTGAGTCATCCACCAAGGATGGATGGGTATGTGCGGTTAAAAGCTAATGTACATGTAACTCCATCTGCAAACATTCGTGTACATGTGCTGGTACATGTGTACATGTATGTGCAGCCAGCACATTTCAGCGAAGAGTGTTCTTAAATGTACATGTATTTTATCACCTGATTAAAATTAATCAGTTCAGTGCGAGGTGCGTACTTGGACATAAACGTGCACAGTTGCTACATGTACATGTATATGAGCATACATGTACAGTACATGTACTCTTTGCTGCAGGGTTTTAATAATAACAAGCTATGTGGTTTTAATGACAATTGGACATGAAAGCGAAAGGACCCGGACAAGCTGGGAAACCACAAGTTGCATGCACAAATTCCATCAGTTCAGCCTTGATATACCGGAAGTTACAGAAGTTACATTGTTGTTTGGAAATTACATGTACTCGTAGATACTAAACATAAGTGGTGGCATGTGTTACACTACATTGTACATGGACTACAGAGATGCAGAGAAATCTGCAGGATAGAGGAAGACTGCACACAACAACTGCCTACAATCTTGTGGGTTATAAAACTGCACGTGTAAACATGTAGAAAAGAACCTGCACTGGCTGTTGAACCGTGTTGGACTCAAAAGATGTCAGTTTTCATATCTACACTTCAAGTGATGCCAAAATGCCAAGCAAAGATTTAACATTATTTTTTACTATACCGGTAGCTGTACACATACATGTTACATCATCTCCCGGGTACAGTATTATTTTGAGCCCAAAAAAGAAATTGTTAATACAAAAAGATACCACAACCACAGTCTTTCACAGAATTGGACTTCACATATGCTGACCCTTGATGGTCATTTGTTCAATATTTCTACGACACCTGACAGTGGCCCACAGCTGCTTGAGAGTGAGGATGGGCACAGAGTACAGACATAATGTGGCGCTACTTACAAAATTTGGTGGAACCTGTGTGCACATACCATGTACATGTATGTAGATGTCCTCTGCACGTTTAGACTTCATCCTGGGTTTAGAAGTTAGGCAGCACTATCAAATTGGGCCAAGATTTAGGGTTGAAAAGACACGGGTACCCTTACCTAGATCACTGCCATCCATGTGCGTAGTGTCAGAGCTCAGGCTGTTCCCAGCCATCTGCTGGACCTTCAGGATCTCCATCTTGATGACCTCAATCTTGACCTTGCTGTCTTGCAGCATCTGCTGGGCCTCGGCCACCATCTTGCGGTCCTTGCCCCCCGTGGAGTACATCTGCAGCATGTTCTCCGCCCCTTGCTTGACCTTCATCTCGATGGCCAGCTGTTTCTCGAGGGCGGCCACCCGGCTGTTCGGGGTGGGGCCAGTGCGCAATGGTCCGCTGCCGTCCTCTGAGGACGAAGCCCGTCGGTGGTCCGGAGACAGGGGGCTGGCATCACCTGTACATGATAACAATCAGAGGCATTAGTTCATCGGCATGGCTAACACCAACAATGACTCTCAGACCTTTGCTTAAATACTCCTGACATTGCCAATAGACAAAAGTTGCAGTCTCGCACAGAACTACATCAGTGGAGACACAGACAGATTCAAACATTTTGAGTGGATAGTTGACACTGTTGGGCAAACCCCAATGGGAAGACTGCGGATTTGTGCACTTTCAAATGAAAACTACACGTAGTGTTCTCTGGGTACAAGATACAAATTTATGCATGTACACATGCCAGCGCACACAAACAGCGTTTTCACAGCACCACCTGTTCCTACACGCTGTCCGTGCAAATAACGTACATTTTCCAAATGCTCTAGTTGGCATGTACCAGTACATGTACTAAATAAATTCAGGGTTACGGTGCTGAGAACAGATCTGTCACATCCCCGGCAATACGAAAGGGACTGGTACTGTACATGTACCAGTATATTGAGATACCAGTAGATTTCAGATAACCAGTAACTGAACTTTTCTGTATATACATGTACAAGTATGTACACAAATGCCGGTGCCCTAGTCGTGAGGTTTACGTGTACACCCACGTCGAATGATAGTTATTCTGGGTATGCATTCTTTATGAGGACAAACGGTTAGACCAACAAGTCAGTCCCAAATTTCCACACAAAAGATACCGTCCTTCAAATTTATGGGGGCCGGTTTAGAGCACAGACACCACATGCAGATGTACGTACGCTGAGGGTTACCATTCCTTAGTAGCCCTCATGTTTTTACTACTACTACATGTACATATATGTACATACATGTACCGTACACATGTGCTTGTGTGAATAGTTATGATTAACAAAAATCAGTGAAGCCTTGAAGGGGTCATTTGTGTACCAGTAAAACATGTAGGAAGCAATGTGTAAATTTGCACCTGCATGTGCATGTACATGAATGCTGGTACTATCACATTTAAACAGCTGTGTAATTCAATACCTACATGTACAGGGGCACATGTAGAGTGCATCACTTGGACACTCAAATCTTCTTTTCAGAACAGTCTAACAAAGCGGAAGGAAATGAATATTGACAAATCTACAGTCACAGGATTCATGGGTGGGTACAAATGTACACTATGCATATATAACAATGTTCTGGATGTCCATGTGAAAGAAACATACCAGTAAGCAGTATACCAAGTCCTTACTTAAACTACATGTACATGTACATGAATAGAGTTCGAACATGAAGCTTTGCCTCGTCAGTCTTTCCAGAGAGGCAGACCACAAACCCTACAGTTTCACAGGTACAATGTAGCCAATCCCTACAAATGTACATGTACATGTATATTCAACATGTAATGGTACACATGTACATGTACACCAATAATCTTGTAATAAAGTACATGTACATATAGGCCTACATGTGCATGTATGTACTTGTAAATGTATGTAGCCTACTGTATGTCGGGTACACAAGAGTAAGAAGTTAAAAGTTAACTTGCATGTATAGTGGACATATCAAATCCGAGCCTGGCAGGGACAATTGGTTGGTCAAAACACAGAGTTACCATGACTGGGCATTAGCAGCACAAAAGGTACAACTGGGGACTGTGATTATCCTTACAAAAAGTACAATGGCGAGTGGTACATGTACATGCACAGTAACTTTACACACATATTACACATGAACAGGTACCCCGAACATGTATGGTACATGTACCGTACATACCAATACAATGTACGTGGTACATGAAGGTGACTTGCAACCCGTGGTCTTCCCAAAGCAGTGATTTGTGCATCCTCCGTGAACAGCTCTGACTGCTTTTTCTTTTATCCCTAAAAGAGCCATGTTACATGTACATGTACAGTGTATTAATTATACCGGTATTGACCGTCTGGGGTGGGGGATTCTATCCCCTAAGAACTTGGCTGTCCTTGTACCCACTTTTTTTAAACCTGGCGTGCGTGTACCGGTATATGTTACAACACCTTTCACCTTATCAGTACAAATGTGAATTTTCAACACAATCTGATCTGACATGGTTTTGTTGTTAACAATAATATTACAACTAGTTGATTTTGGAGATCGAGGCGGCATACCTGTGCATTACATGTACATGTACACGCCAACATGCATGCACTGAGCATGGCAGTGGATAAGTATAGAAATTTGGCTGAACTGTTTTGGGAAAAATGGGCCTTAATTAAGCAAGTATGCATGTTCGATTCTTGAAATTTGGTATCGAAATGACTGCAAAAAGTTACTAAAATACTCCTCATGACTCAGCTCTTTAAGAATATGCACTGTAGTGATATGGGGAGGGGGAATGTAGGAGGGGTGGAGTCTCCCCCTCCCTTTTAGGGTTTGACTAGGTCTGGCCAGCAACCCGATGACCCTTAGAAGCCCTAGGGCAGGATGGTACAAGCACACCCAAGTACTGTTCTGGTATTCTTCTCTGGTAGAGCAGTCAAAGAGGAAGTGCATGCATGTACATGTAGGGGCGACCTTCAGGTTTCAACCATTAGGCCAAATATACATGTCAATATCGGTAATATACTACATGTACAAAATGGTATCTCTGTAGTTTAAGCCTGCATACATGTACATCGTACCGTCAGATGCAGCAGGTACATGCAGATTAAGTGTGCAGACTGGTCAAAATGATATAGGCCTAACAATTGACAGTGGGGATGACCCTGCAAGGGAGGACATCAAATTATTTGTCACTGCAATCCTGTGTTTCAACAACTTGTGAAAAAGTTGCAAAACCTTTGGAAGATGAACACATCAAATTATGATGCACGTACATGTACATGTCCATGTGATCACACAGTGACTGTGCTTATATACATAATATGTACATGTATGTACACTGTAGTACATGTATAGCGACAGTACGTGTACAGCACAAGTACATGTACATTTCATTTTATACAAGTCTATGTACATTATGCACTACCAAGCCTCAGTGAACGCAAGACTGGGCAGCCTATAAACGACAGCACTGTGTACCTTTCCAATGCAACTGGAATGCATGGTATACAGAAAAACAACAGATGACAAAAAAGAACGATCACCCCCTCAAATCAAATTAGCTTGGGGGGGGGAAGATGGGCCGGTGTCGCATTGCCGTTCCCTCCAAACCCTGCTGGCAGTTTCCTAACCCGGCTGTGAAATATTGATGCACTTCCCAATTATCTTGTCGGGGCAGGCAGTTGGCCAATCCTGACGGGGCACCACATCCCCAGGTAAGGTCAGAGGTGCAGGCTGTGCTCCACAGCAGAGCTAGATGTGCTCTCCTTTCATCATTTTTCTCCACACAGTTTCCTTCATGCCAAACAGATAAATAACTCAACAGAACTGAGAACCCAGCTGTGTTCCACAGCATTTAACCCTGTGGCTTTACTAGGGTACCTTTGGTCCATGTATATAGGTACATGTACTGGTACTGGTACATGTACTGTACATGTACAACAAGTGGAACTTTCCAGTACTGAACAAAATGTACATGTACATGCCTCCTACATTTAAGTCTGCAATATACATGTTTTCTTTGTAGGTACAGTAGTACCAAGTACTTTTTAGTATTGCATGTTATTGCAACATTTACCATTTACATGATGTGCATGTACCAGTATTTGCAAGCACACAGATAGGACCTACATGTACATGTACATGTGCCAATGGCTATAAAATTGTTACACTTAAAGACACGTGACACCCACTTTATACATGTACGCACATATGTGTACAGGTGTACAATACTGTACATGTACATACCGGTACATGTAATTAACTTTCCACGATCAGATGATGTACATGTATACTACCCGGTGTACCAGTATTTTGCATACATGCTCACAGTTATGAGCAGACTACACACATACATGTAGCACACTGTAGGGTACATGCACTTGAGCGGCAACTCTTACAAGCCCAATTAACATACATAACTTACACAAATCTAGGACTTGTACAAGTGCTTGACAAATGTACTTCACAGTAACTGAAGTACATGTATGCACATGTACATTGTATACTATACTAGTACATGTACATGTACAATGTACCCTAAGTGTATACTGTACATGTACCCCAGGTACATGTGTATGTGTGTGTACACTGCATTGCAGGCACATTAATTAAACACAACATACTGTACAGCACATGTACAACTTGGACATGTACATGCATACATTTACATGTACATGTACCAAAATGTTCCCACACTCAATCCATTAGAAAAATTTGAACTGAACCTGTTAAATCTTAATTCTCTGTAATACATACAAGACAAACTGTTTGCAAAATGCAACTGTTTTAGAACATATCCTTTTTTGTCTGCAATGTGCACTGAAACGGTAGAGGGCAACATAGGTGTGCATTGTACACATGTCCATGCACTTACATGTAGCACACGGAATATGATGTACATACATGTAAATGCAGGAATTGTCAACAGTTGAGGGAAATGCTGCAGGATAATTCAAAGTAAAAGTACATGTACAATTATGGAATTGACCCACATTTCCGTCAGCAATCTCCGTACAATGTACAGTACATGTACATGTAACTTCCTGGCCAAGATCCCCTTCCAATCTGGAACAGCCAGCTCTTGCTGCATACACTGCATGTCACCAGTCTCCCAACAGCTGGCCGCCAAGACCAGTGGGAACATGATACTCGACACACCATCCATATTTCAAGTTCACAAAAAGATCAGCTATTTTCTGCCGCACGGCGGGCCGCGACGCATTCACACTTGTAGCCTCAATTGAGTCAAGACTTAGAGCCAGCATCCGCCTGGAGGATCGAGTTTGAGGCAATGACGCACACGTCCCCCCTAACAACTGGACACTGCATACAAGTCTTCCTTATCATGTCATTCTCTGGACAATAAGTATCAGAATTTCTATTTTTCCAGACAGCTGAATGTAGTTATTTGTTGCAACCCAAAATAAATCACAAAAAAAGTACATAAAAGGTCCTCATGTTTGCACT